TAAGATACATTTATAAACAGAGGTCTTCCTGAGGGATCCATAAATCATACATTACTACTTAGTTATGCCATATTTTAGCAGAATGTTAACATGCAAAAAAATAAAGGTTTGTCACTTACAATGCTAATAAACTTGCCTCACAGTGTTGTGTCGAGGCTAATCCATGTACCGCCCATACTGAAGGCAGATATTGAATATGCAGGTTCACTTTACCAGTAGCTTTAATATGCTGCCATAATGAACTTCAAAGCACACAAAGACGCTAGCTCTTCCCCCATATAGCCCCTGACCTCATAGCTCTGCTTTTTATCTTTATATAAAAGGGAAATATGTTTTTCAAAGAAGTCTAGCTTAGACTCTAGGTATTGTCCACTAAGGAATAATAGCTTGTGAAAGCGATCTGTGTTTTATTTTTTTATTTATTATTTTGTTCAGGAGTGTTTTTCTTCTTTCATACCTTTTATATTTTTGGAGAGCAGAAATCCTTGCTTTCAGATGTGGTAAACAAATTTTCACAGTCGTGAGGTCTCTTGTTTTGACAGCTCTATCTATTGGAAAGATTTGATCCATTCCTTTTGTGCTCTTTATTTCAGAGGGTGATGTAACAATATTTGGCACATTTTAGGTCTAGACCCCAGTAAGGTTATACAGTTACGTTTGGTTGTCTGCTCCTCCATTTTTTTTAAAAAAAAATATATAGACAGTGGCTGTTGGAATGAAGGTTTCATTCTTAACACTTGGTTTACTCGTTTTCTATTCATTGTGGTGACAAATGGTATACTATAACAAATGCTGGGAAGGTTGCTCACTAAAAGAAACATCTAGCAGGTATGGTAAACTGGAAAGGGTGGGAGAGAATTCCAGCTATTTCCACAAAATATTATGATAGAGTAGTGGCAAGAGAGAGGCCACAATAGCTAGCACTATTTATGTATATAGTTACTACCTTGCTAGTCACCTGGGAGAAACCCATGCTGCTGACATTGTCAGAACATCAGTAGGAGAGACTATCCAATCAGCACCAGTGTGCTTGCATACAGCTGCCTGTGCCACCTTTTAAAGGTTCTGCTTCCATTTCCCTCTCCCATGTGTTCAGTGAAATGGATAGGGATTCCCTGCCACCATGGTCAATCACTACATACAATAAGGGATGCTGACATTTTTGCCTAGAACACCTCTCCACCGACCTTCACTGGTAATAATGAAGCATTAATTCAATTAAGTACTTATTAATATGTACAATCTCCCTTATCCAAAAGCAACAAAACTGTTTTTCATATTTCACATTATTTACAGATCTGAAATATGACCTCCATTTGCTTATACATCATGAATCTGGGACAAGGGGAGAAAGGGGGTTAGTTACACATCCAGCACATGCCGAACCCCCTTAAGGAGCTTTCCCTAATGGGGGAAAGAGAAGAGAGGGGGAGAGGGAAGGACTCTTTTTACAAAAGACCCCTGAAAATAGCAAATGAAAAAAAACCCAGATGGCTGTCAGCACACTTTCTACCTTATTAGCAAAGTAGCTAGGAAGAAAGTGGAAAATCTCTCCCTTCCCCATTTGTCTCTTTCTTTTTCTCTGCACTGGATGTAGGTGGTAGCTGATGGGATCACTGTGTTCACTGTAGACCACCTTCAAGGCACCTGCCCCACTGCATGCTGTCATTGGCCAAACAGAAAATGAGCATGGAAACATGTGTGATGTTGACCTTTTACAGGGGCCATGTGCAAGCGGAGCCCTTCCCTGTTCTCTGTTCTTTATACACCATCAGGGCTTCTTCAGGAACTCTCAGGAGGTGTTGAATGTGTTCCTAGGCCCCTTAACCCAAAAGCAGAAGTGAACAGCCGGCAGCAAAAGTGTTTCAGATTTGGAATATTTTGATTTTGAATGCCAAGATAATGGAGGCACATCTAGTATTTATTGAATAAGTAAATAAATAAAATGATGCTGCAGTTATAGGCTGAATAGTCAGTAATAAAATTTTGTGCCTGCCAAATTTGGAAAAGATACCTTTAGGGAATTAGAATGCTCAGAATTCCATAACTAGCCACTGGCAGTGTTGACTATGGGATTTGGGAACTAATACTTCCACAAGACTAACTTTCCTAAGCGTTACTTCATATCACAAATGACCCTCTCACATGATTCAATTGGATGCTCTTGAGTAGAAGAGATCATTTTTCTTCACAAGAATTTTCAGGGATCTCTGCTTTTTGTCACCCCTGTCTCACACAACAATCTACCTTGTGTAACATTTCAGAAGAAGGTTAGAGGAGTTATCATGAGGAGAAAGAGAGAGAAGTCCTTATTCTCTAGCTCATATATGTATACTGACATTGTATTCAAAATGATAGCGTTTAAATTTAGTCCAATATGAATATATTATAAACAATATAGAAGTGTTTGCAGGATTCAGATATCACCTTTTATTCACTTTCATTTTATCTATACTTCGCTGAGTAGCAGAACGGTTAAGGAACCCTGGTAGTGAATTACAAAAACTCCAGCAAGAGTGCCTGAAATGCACTGAAACTGGGGCATTGATGTGCAAGATGCAGTGACACACAATGGATATTGGGCACTTTGCCAGCTCTGCTGTATAGTTAGTGTAACAACAGCCCTCTATTGGTTATGGACATTGCAGAACTGCTCAGTTCTAATTCATATATATGTACTCCTGCTTCTGAAGATATATGTACTCCTGCTTCTGAAGACATGATTCCAAGATAGGAATCATGTCAGCCACTATTAATAAAATAAATCAGCCACTATTTATTTCACTTCACATTATTTATCATACTGCTAGGATGACACCTTTTAGAATGCATTATCTTTCAAGGCAGCTTACCAACACAGGATTCCGAAATCCCAAATACCCCCAAAATCCCTAATGTTCCACATGAGTGGCTGAGATAGTGACATCTTTCCTTTCTGATGGATCCTTGTATACAAACTTTGTTTCATGCACAAAATTATTTAAAAATCTATATAAATAAAATGCAATGTTCGTTTGTGGGATTAACATAACCAAAAAACCACTGGACAAATTGCCACCAAACTTGGCCACAAGACACCTACTAACCCAAGGAGTGACCATCACTCAAAAGAAAATTGATTTTGTCATTTGGGGGTTGAAGTTACTGGGATTTATAGTTCACCTACAATCAAAGAGCATTCTGAACTTCACCAGTGATGGAATTAAACCAAATGTGGCACACAGGACTCCCATGAACAACAGAAAACACTAGGAGGATTTGTGGGCATTGACCTTGAATTTGGGAGTTGTAGTTCACCTACATCCAGAGACCACTGTGGACTCAAACAATGATAGATCCGCATCAAACTTGGAACAAATACTCAATATGACCAAATATGAACACAGATGGAGTTTGGGGAAAATATACCTTGACATTTGGGAGTTGTAGTTACTGGGATTTATAGTTCACCTACAATCAAAGAGCATTCTGAACCTCACCAATGACAGAATTGGGGCAAACTTCCCACACAGAACCTCCATGACCAACAGAAAATACTTAAGCCCGTCCAGTCCAACTCCCTTCACCAGGGCAAGAAAATGTAATCAAAGCCCTCCTAACAAAGAGCCATCCAGCCATAGATATAGATATATATATATGATTCACACACACACAGATAGAGTATCATAGATTTGAAAGGATAATTCTATGTTGCATGTTCCAGAGTAGGCAAACCAGACAATCTCGACATCAACACTGCCAAAGAAACAGCAAGAAATACTGTTTACCCATAAGCATAAAGACATTACATATATTAGAAATCAACACTTTGTAATTACTTCATTTTCCAGATCACCAGACTGGGCCACAGCAACACATGGCAGGGAAGGGCTAGTATTGTATAAAATTACTTTAATAAATAAATTTCATGTTTAGATTTGGATCCTATCTCCAAGATATTTCATTACATCCATCTGAAAAAAAAAATCCAAAATCCAAAACAGTTCTGATCCTAACCATTTTGGATAATGAAGGCTCAACCTCTAATGTAAAGATGTGTTACTAATATCCCAGTCAATAATATTAGAATTTACCCATTGATACTTCTTGTAGGTCATGTAATAGTAGACAATCTGTGAGGAAAAAGTGGACCAATGGGCGTATGTGCTGAGAGGTATTCATCTGGCTGCTCTTTCAGAATTTGGAAACGTTACTTTTTTGGAATACTACTCCTAGAATTCTCCAGAATTCTCCCATATTAATATATTTCCCCAAGCTCTGTTTTCTCTATTCTTCTGGAAGACATCTGACAGATCAATTGTTGGCCATGTAAACAGAATAAAGAACACTTATAACCGCATTGTTTTTCGGGTTTTTTTATGCTAAATCTATTTCTTTTTTAATAATAAGTTTGCATGTTATATGATCTACAAGGTAATAAAATTGTCTGTGGAATTATGTACAAATGTATTCTTTCATTGTTGAAGGCTGAAAATGTTTTGCAGCAAATGTGCAACATTTGTGTGTACATGTTTGTGTGTTCTGTGTAATAGGGTTGTCATCTAATAAGAGAATTGCATTTTGATTTATGATCTGCCCTTTAACCAACTAATCCATCAATTAATTGATTAAATGTATTGGCATATGACCAAACCCATTGTTGTAGGCACCTCTTTAAAATATTGAAGGGAAGTATGAGATAATTTACAATTTAATAAATAAAAATTACTGCTCATTAGAAAGAAAGGCTGTCTTTAACATTTTGTCATTCTTTATGTTCTAACATGCCAAGCCCAAATTAACTTCCGGTCAGAAACAAGTGTGTCTTTAGCTTCCAGTGATTAATTGAATAAGTTCTCAATCAAGCAAATAAAGCATGCGGCTGCCATGTATCTGTTTGCATGCATGTGTGTATGCTTAGGAACATGGAAATATTGACAAATGTATTATAAGATTAAGCTTTGTACATGCACTTGGAATGCTAACTTATGGCTACTTACATTTTACCTCTGTTTTCACAGGTGAAATGGGTGGTATATCAGACAGCTTATTAAAGAGACAAGCTTGCTGCTTTCCCAAAGTGAGATGACAGAACCAGTCATGGTACGTATTGTAATTTCAGTGCTGCAATACATCTTGAAGCTGTCTTAGGTAAAACGCTTGCTAAGCATTGCATTGGGGCTGTCAGAATGCTTCATGGGGTAGTAATTAAATTGAGGCAATTCTACAGTTCGTTTTATGGAACCAAGCCAAAACTATATCTAGCCTAGAAATATTTTCCATAGACCTTGCTTTTTGTTTTTTGGTTTGTTTGTTTGGGTTTTTTTTATTTTGCTTTTTAATTGTGAGAACCAGATGTCTTTCACCTAAGGATATATTTTTGCCCTAGTGGGATGCATCCAACTATTTCCTATAGTCTGGTCTGCTTTTTTGTTTGTTAGCTATAATTTCTTTCACATTATACTTGAAAGAAAGAGGGCATTGAGAATTTAAAATATAATTGTTTTTGCAGCATGGACTTTAGTTGCTATTAATATAAACTCTAATCCGAAGTACAAGGAGTACTGTAATTTTGTGTTTGGCAGCAGCTAAGACAATTTCAAGAAGTGTTGATATTGGATTGCCTGCTCAAAGCAACATAATATTCAGAAAGTATAAGGCCCTTCCACACAGGCCCAAAACCCATGATGGGTTTTGGATTAACCCAGAGTAAACAGGGATTTCCTGATTTATTCTGGATTTTAAAAAACAGCTGACAAAATCGGGGCCTAACTGCAAGGTCCGAGTCTTTTCGGGTGCTTGGCCTTTAGGGGTTGACTCTCAGTACCACCTTCCACAATCCCGGAGGTCAGTCCCCATTCTTTGGGCTGTAAGAATCTGAAGGAGCAGGATGGCCCAGCCCCCTGTTTTCCTTCAAAGCTTACCGGAGGGGGCCTGGCTGCATCCTCAGGCTTCTCAGAGAAATTCTTGAAACTTCATTTTGATGTATTGATAACTTTCTTTGAGGGTCCTGAGGATGCAACCAGGCCCCTCCAGTAATCTTAGAGGGGAAAAAGGCAGGGAACTGGCTAGATGTCCTCCTAGGTCAACCTCTGGTCAACCTGGGAGAGCATGTAGCCACCCTTGCAGGGAAAACCTAGAGTTTGGGGTTGCTGTATGGCCTAAATCATGAAAAACAAAATCAGGATTTTAAATCCTGGTTACTTTCACAATTTGGGCCTGTCTAGAAGGGGCCATGGAAGTAACTAGAAGTTCTAATCAATCAGAACTGGAATATTCCTTTGATCTCTTGTCAGTCCATCACAACTTTATTTGAAACCTGTTTTGCTTCTGGTTTCCAACCAGCCATGCTCTTCTCCAAAGCATTCTGTTTCTTTTCTCCAACCAATTTTCTATGTGTCCATTCCCAATATATACACAATATTACTGTGGCCACTGAATGTGATTAGTCTTCACAAGCCTATTTTCAGATATTGTTCCCATAAGATTGAAGTGTTTCCTTGCTTGCTTTTTTCTGAAAGCCCAAACTTCTTCCAGGTATACATGTAACTTGCCTTGGACTGTGAATGGTTCTGTTTTGGCTATTTTAAAATTGGCAATTTTAAGAAGGGGTTGACTGTTTAGATCAAGTAGGCCCAGTATCATGATATTGTGCGAGTACTCTTGCTTACATTTACATCCAGCTATGCTGAAATTAATAAAACAGCAGTTAAAATGACCAAGATCAGTAAAAGTATCAACAGTGAACACTGCCCCAAAATGCTTAAAGAAAAACTTTCCTCTTGTTTAAATGGGGAAAATACAAACTAAATGTGCCATAAGAGGGAATTATATCTCTCATTATCTCATTATCTCTCTCTCTGTCTCATAGTTTTCACTACTCTGGTTAGATGGCATGAATTTTTTAAAAAGCGTCTACACACACACACAAAAAAATTATGTGGAAATTTTTGGCACATGTGTGGTTTGTATCTATATTTTTGGTAATGCATTTTCCAGTTTTGGTGTTACTTAAGTAGTAAGATACCCTTAAGAACATTTTTTGAAATTTTAAAAAATATTTATGGCCTTTTTGAGCAATAAGAAAATTGAACAATAAAATAATCTATGGCTGTTTTTGCTGGAAACTCTAGTTGGATGTGTAATGATTGAATAACGTTTTTTCTGATTTCCCCTCGTTCATTACGGTTTGGATGGAGTGGAGGGTCAGAACCCTTTTGAGTCTTTGTGTTTGATGTTTTAATTAGTTAGTGTTTAGTGTTTTAGCTTAGCATCATAGTATTCTGTATACATTGTAGTTCTAGTTGTATATAGATATGTTTTTAAAACATGTCTGTGCATTTCTTCATTATTTTCCTTTTGTTCTCTTTGTTTCTTTTCTTCTCTCCTTTCTCTTTTTGAATGTTTATTATTTTGGTTGTGTATCATGCTATCTATGTTAAACTTAATATTGTTTTTTTTTAAAAAAAAGAAAGTGACAATCTCTAACCTCTTTAACTTCTAAAGTGTCAGACTAGGGTTAATATGCCATACTTCTTATATCTAATTTATTACTGGATGAAAACAAATAAACAAACCCCATCTTACCCATATAGCCCTTTTAATTATCAGATCTTTTGTCTATTTTTATTGTCTTAATTGATGATATTGTGTTCATGGATTTCATTGCTCTTTGTACCTCTAGCAGAAACAGAACGTACCATACACAGAACTTGTGTTCTAATCACCCATTGTAATTCATCAGCCTATGTGTGCCTCAACACTATCATTACTTTGTGGCATGAAAATGGTTTTAAATACATTGATTGAAAGAAACGTCAAAGATTTTTGGAGAAAAAGAATGAAAAATTGTAAATATAAGAAAAGTATATATTTATGCTCTCGGCAGCCAAATGTGCTTTTTAATGGAATTTAAATAAATGGAATTTTTATGACAAAAAAGCAACAGTAAAAGCAGTGATTATATTTTTCATAGTTCATTTGCCTTCTTTGCCCTGCAGATCTTGTATGGAAGGAAAATGAGATCCCTAGTGAAGTCTACAGTGTGATTGACTCTGAAGAAAGACTCTGAGACCCATTGGTGCTTAATGACCCTTATTGGCCTGTTCAATGGGAACTGGTATGATCTTAAAAACAGACATATGGCTCTTCAAAAATGATAAGAAATGTCATTTTTGATGTGTTCTAATGGGGTACTTGGGCATTTTAAATGCTACTGGCTTTTAACAATTGATTTGTGGAAAGGCAGGGTAACCAACGATAGTTGATGATATCATAGAATGGACCCAGACAGGCAATGCAAGCAGTTGAATTTGTTTGGCTTCTGTGGGTGCATCTATATACTGTAGAATTAATATAGTTGGCACCACTTTAACTGCCACGGCTCACTACTATGGAATCATGGGAGTCTTTCTCTTTCTCTGACAAAGGATCCTTGTGCCTCTCCAAACTACAAATCACAGCATTCTATAGCACTGAGCCATGGTATTAAAGTGGTGCCCTAATTCCACAGTGTAGATGCACCTTGTGTGTCTCCTGGGAGAACAATAATCATTATCTCTCTCTTTCTCTCACTCAATTCCCCTTCCAAATTAGGTATAAATGTAACACACACCTGGTTGTTTTTCTAAACTTGTGAATGCCGATGGTGTATCCCCTGAGATATGTATTCCTCAACGCATTAAAGAAATTGAAGTCTAAAACCATTTGTTAATCTCAACCAGAGTAGACCAATTAAACCAGTGATTCTCAACCTGTGGGTCCCCAGGTGTTTTGACCTACAACTCCCAGAAATACCAGCCAGTTTACCAGCTGTTTGGATTTCTGGGAGTTGAAGGCCAAAACATCTGGGGACCCACAGGTTGAGAACCACTGCATTAAACCAATTGTTCTTACATAGATGTTTACAAGGTCTTTAGCCTTCTCTGCCAAATAGTTCTGGTGCCTTACCAAACCACAACTTCCATTAATCCATAGCATTGAGTCACGACAGTTAAAGTGGTGTCAAACTCCATTCATTTTACAGTGTACATATACCCTGGATGAATGCCAAGGAGGCCTTGGAAACAGATCTCTAGCAAGGCACTATGGCCTGACATTCGTTATCTTTCATACCATACATTTCAAACTTTCTTTTTGCATCCATTGTAATTTCTGTTAAAGATAGAGAGGATACCTCAACAATTGTGCTTCATTTCATACATTCTATGTTGGAAAAAGAAGAACACATAAAGGTGGTAATCTTTCCACTATCTTTATATTTTCAAAGTTTTCCGTCTGTCGCAAAACTGTAACCTTTCTCTAACTTATTTTTCCTGAAGGTTTCTGTTGGACATGATGTGCCAAGGTGTGATGACTTAGCTAAATGTCACTTGAAAAAGATATATGAATAATAATTAGGAGACATTTTATGGCATATCCGATCAGTAGTCACTTAAAATTTCTTTGGCCCTGTGAGCAAGATGTGATAAGGTGACAAGAAAAGATCTTCATTTATAAGGCCTGGCATAAAAAAGGTGGTTGTTTTTTTTTTGCATTGGCAATCCCTTGCTGCATAGCAGTAAGAAATACTGCATTTTGAGCTGGGTCACAGCTCTTCCTTTTTCATTTCCCCCATTTCCAAGATATGATGGTTCTCCATCATTTTTCTATATTTAAGAAAAAATAGGGACTTTACAATTTATAGGTTACTATACAAGAACATGATCCTTCAGTGGCATTTTTTTAAAAAAATCCATAATATGGGATGAAGCATATAACAACTGTAAAGGTGCTATTACCTGGTTTTGTAACGGAAATGTCTCTCCCTCTAAATTGTCTTCTAATGCCAGTATCAGGGAAGGGAGTATTTTGATTTATAATTCTCTCTCTTTTGAAAAAGGAACATATGCATGAAGGGAAATGGAGCAAACAACAGCTTACTCCTTACCACCACTTGATATCTACATAGGGAAACATCAGAGAAGACCTTTCAGGTGAAATTTCCCTGTCTCCTGAGAAGGAGAAATGCCTCAAAAATGAAAGACAACAATTGCAGATGAATAGTTTAACTTTATGCCTCTCACACAGATTGGTGAGATTCCTCGCAGAGGACTTAACTTTTTAGTGATAGTAACATATCCTTCAGCAGTCCAAATTTGTCACACATTCCTAATTAACCTTCTGATTCCAACTACTTAAAATTGTTCTAATTTCTTTTCCTCCTAATATTTCACCTTTGTCCTCAGCTTACTTCAGTTGCTGCTAATCAAGTTCAAAGTGCCAAAATAGTTTGCACTGAACTCTGCAGGAAGGAGAGGAGAGCTCTTGCCTTTCCAAGTAAACTCAGGCAAAAGCAAATTGCTGCCATTTCTCTTACCTTGTATGTTCTTCATTAACTACCTTTGCCATCTTGACTACCTCTGATACCGCTTAGCCACCTGGAATCTTGGTTTCATCTGGGAAATATTGTAGTGTACACAGTAGCAATCTGACTGCTTCCAAGTGATAATGGCCTCCTTCTTTGTTTTTTTTTCTTTTTCATCACAAAACTGCTAGTAATCAGTGCTTTTGTCTCTTGATAGTCATAAAAGTCAGAAGACTGCAGAGTTCCTTCTCAGATATACGGCTGGAAATAAGGTGCATAGGAGGATGGGTGCATTGAGAATGGAAGTTCTCACCTACCGAGCTTTTAAAGGATAACTTTTATAGCTGAAACCCAATTTGCATCCAATGTGCCTGAAATTCTGCATTAAGAAGCTATGGTTGGAGGGTATGGGATGATTTGAGGAAGAAAGCAACTGAAAGAAAGATTAGAATTTCCTTGCCCTACATATGATTATTCCACATGATGATAGGTGTCTCACACGATTGTTTTCAAATAAATAAATAAAAACATGGCTATACATTATGTAATTAACATAACATGTGATTTGATCTTAAGGAGTTGAAATCAAAAGGCACCTCTGTGGAAAACCTTGTAAATAGTAGTCATGGGCCTGGCATTTGTCTAATTTGTTTGGCAAGAAACAAAAATCCAATTTTTGTACAGAAGAAGGGGTGAAATGGAAGAGAAAGTTTCATGGGTACCATTGCTTTGTTTATTTTTTGGACTGTGTGGCTTCACTATGTGGCTCCAGGAGTTCTTCAGAGGAGGTGTTTTGGGCCAATCAGAGGCCAAGAAAACAGTGATGTCACCAGCCTGTATATGGGGAGACCACTGCCAAAATGCCTGTTGTGGGCGTGTCTTTTGGTGTGGCTGGCTGGCTTGCTGGTGCTCTCTCTCCAGTGCTTGCTTGCTTGCCTTGCCTTGCCTTTTGCCTTGCTTCCTTGCTGCCTAAGTTGCCTTAGTGCCATGGGAAGGATTTGTATTTTATTTTTTGCCTAAGCTTGGCTGCTTGGCCTTTTAAAATATTTTTTTTCCTTTGAAGGGAGGGGGCTGGGAGTTTTGAAGTGGTGGGGATGGGTTTAGCTGGGGAGCGCATGTAGGGCTTTGGGGAGAAGGGGTTCTCTTGTAGCTAGCTACTTCTATTTGCTATACTTTCATATTTTAAAATCTTTAAATCTTTATTTTATTCTTAATTCTTTGTTTAAAACCTCCCTTCATGTCCCGGTAGTATTGTGTTTTTTAAAATAAATGAATAAATATTTTTCAAAGGAAAGACATTTTTGTGCTTCTACCTTCTCAGTTTAGAAAACAGACTTTCAGTCTCTCTCTTTAACTGGTCCTTGGAAAAACTACTTTTTATTTCTCCCTCTCATTCTCTGGATTGCCTCTGTGTTGGGTCCTCCCTCTCCTTTGTGCTCTCTTATACTTTTATAGCCCCTACCCCAGCACCAAGTGCTGCTCTGGGATCAGAGTGAAGAGAGGGGCCAGGAAGACAGCTACATCTTATCTCCTGCACTGTACTAATAATAATATAATATAATAAATATAATATAATATAATATAATATAATGTGTATACATATAATATTGATAATATAATGTGATACAATATAATACAACTAATAATATAATATTATAATTATATATATTTATATTACATGTAATATTACTAATAATATTACAGTATAATGTTATAGTACATTATAGTATGATATAATACTAATATTGTGCTATGGTAATAATATAATATATTGCATTTTACTTGTAAGTTGCTCTGAGTCCCCTTTAGGGTGAGAAGGGTGGCATATAAATGTCAAAAATAAATAAATTATAGAACAAATAGAATAGAATAAATATTGCTATAGAATAAATATATTTTTCAAAGGAAATATATTTTTGGGTTTCTCAGAAAACCACTATCTCGCTATCAAACGTTCAGTCTCTCACTATAACTGCTCCTTGGGAAAACTATATTTTCTTTCTCCCTCGACCTCTGCAGTTCCTTGTTTCCATACCCTATGTGCATCACCTCTGTTTTACTTTAATACAACTACAGCCATTGCCTGTGTAGGGAACGAAAGGGGTCCTGTGTCCCCCTTAAAGGGGGTCTGGGGGAAAGAGGGAATGTTTTAAAGGGGATTTTATTTATTAAAAGAAAAAAACCCCTAAAAATCAGGAAAGGCCCAAATGTTTTAAAAGTTGGTGGGCATGTCCTCCATGTGTGGCAATTTTCATCTCTCTAGCCCTAAAACTGAGGGAAGGGGAGCTTAGGAAGCTCTCCCATTGCCGCCAATGGTCTGAAAATTTTCATTCTTTTGGATGTGGGACAAAACTCCCATTTGGATAGTTTTCGGAAGTGGCGAATGAAAATGAAAATGGGGCCAAATGAATGAAACAAAACGAAACAGATAGCGATTCCATACAAATGCACAAGACTAGTAAATAGATTTTAATAAGTATCTGTTATGAATATGAAACATTTTCTTGCTTCTAATTTCTTAAGCTTACCCACAAAATAATGCAAATATATAACTTTGAGGCAAGGTTGCCTCATTACAAGGAAGCAATGCAGGTTTGACTTAGGGTTTGTTCTCAAGTTGGATTGATCCTACAGTATATCACAGCAATATATGTTAAAATAGTTCCTTAGTAACCAGTTTTAATTTGTTCAGAAATACTTGTGAGAATAATACTGCGTACTGTATATTCTGACAATCTGGTGCACTTAAGGCATAGTTTGCTTTCAGTTTCTTGTAAGACTGAGTTTTGTAATTTTGTCTGAAATTTCCATGGGTTTTATGAAAGGTAACAATTGATATTGAAAAAAGATTCTTCTTGAAAATCAATTCAGCAGCATGAAGTAATGTACTTGCCATGTGGGAATATTAATAGGAAAGAAAAATGACAAGGATATATAAGAAATTAAACTAGATCCCAGGAGAGTAGATATCTGTGAATATTGCTATGAATACTGTAAAACCTGTAGCTCACTATTTTACAATTGGGAAAAAAGCACATGTAAAAAATTTTTTTCAGTCTTATTCCTTTGATAAGATACACAGGTGGCACAGAACAGAAGAAATACCAAGTCTGGAAAAAGCTCAATAAGAAATAATTTGGGCTAAAATGTCATCCCCTTTTAATTATGCATATGGAATGTGATCTAAAACATGATCCATCTTACTCTCTGGTTTAATGTGGAAAACTGTCTCAAAGCTGGGTTGCTGTGAGTTTTTTAGGCTGCATGGCTATGTTCCAGTAGCATTCTCTCCTGACGTTTTGCCTGCATCTGTGGCTGGCATCTTCAGAGGTCTGTTCGAGGGTTGGAATGTATATATCTGTGGAGAGTCTCAAAGCTGATTATAATTTGTGATACTTGATGCCAATTAAAATGTTATTTCATGACAGTAAGAGTTGTATCATCACTAATTCATAAAATATTTTATTATAGTAAAATCACTTTTATTTATTATTTATTTACTGTATTTATATCCCACCCTTCTCACCTCAAATGGGACTCAGAGTGGCCTTACAATTGACAGCAATTTGATGCCATATTAACAGACAATGAAATAAACATATACATTAAGAAAAATTAAAAGCAATATAAACATTATTGGCCCTGGGATGTTCCTTAGTACCAGCCTCCAGACCAGGGGTCCTCAAACTTTTTAAACAGAGGGCCAGGTCATAGTCCCTCAAACTGTTGAAGGGCCGGATTATAATTTGAAAAAAAAAAACATGAATGTTTTTTCACCGCACATATCTTATTTGTAGTGCAAAAAACACTTAAAACAATACAATAATTAAAATGAAGAACAATTTAAAAATATAAACTTTTTTTTGGGAAGTGTGGGCCTACTTTTGGCTGATGAAATAGGATTGTTGTTGTTCTTGTGTGCTTTCAAGTCATTTCAGACTTAGGTTGACCCTGAGCAAGGGCCGGGTAAGTGATCTTGGAGGGCCGCATCCGGCCCCCGGGCCTTAGTTTGAGGACCTCTGCTCCAGACCATTATAGAGGAAGAAAGAAGTCCTTACCACCAGTCCCCAGGCTGCTGTGGGAGTGGGAAGGAGACCTGATTGGCCAGCAGCACAGAGCCCAGTTTGGTGCTGCTAAACAGTAAATAATATTATATTAAATATACTACTACTACTACTACTACTACTACTACTACTAATATGAAAGGCAGTCAAGAAGCAACATTGATGGAGGTTAATAGTAGTAAACTGTTTCAAGTGCTAAAGACAAAGAGGGAATACCATAAAAATACAATACAGAGCAGAAGAGGAAACTGTCAAAAGAAAGCTCTCCTGGGAAAAAAATGACAGCAAAATAGACAACGAAAAACATGGCTCACAAATAAAACTTTGAAAAAGAAGATGGAGGGCCTGATTCTGGCACCCCAAGGACAAACCATTAGAACAAATTCCATCAAAGCCAGAATTGAAAAGTCGACGACTGATCCCAAGTGTAGACTCTGCAAGGAATCAGATGAAACAATGGATCACATCCTCAGCTGCTGCAAGAAGATCACACAGAGAGACTACAAGCAGAGGCATAACACCATTGCTCAGATGATTCATTGGAACTTTGAGTCCCCCTAGGGGTGAGAAAAGCAGTATACAAATACTGTAAATAAACTTGTGCCACAAATACCATTTGCATGTGACAAAGAACTGGTGGGATCACAAGCCTGAAAAAGGTTACAGAAAATGAACACATCAAACTACTCTGGGACTTCCGAATTCAGACTGACAGAGTTTTGGAGAGCAATACTCCTGACCTCATGATCGTGTTAAAAAACCAAGTATGGATCATCGATGTTGCAATCCCAGATGACAGCAGGATTGAAGAGAAACAACTGGAAAAGCTGACACGATATGAGGATTTAAAGATCAAACTGCAAATACTCTGGCACAAGCCAGTCATGGTGATCCCAGTGGTGATTGGCACACTGGGTGCAGTCCCTAAAGACCTTGGTCTGCACTTAAACACAAAATCGGCACAGACAAAATTACCATTTGTCAGCTGCAAAAGGCCACTCTACTGAGATCTGCACGCATTATTCGCGATACATCACATAGTCCTAGACACTTGAGAAGTGTCTGACATGGGATCCAATAAAACAACCACTTGAGTGTTATTGTTTGCTGTGTACTCATATTGTTGTGTTTATGATGATGATGATGATGATGATAATAATAATAATAATAATAATAATAATAATAGTGATTAATGTATAACCTGCCCTCTCTCCACGAATTGTTGCCTGGAATCGCATCAGTTGGAACAAAGGGGAAAGAAAGAATTGCTTTCCCCTTTCTGGCCTCCATTCTCTGATTGCCTTTGCACCTCAGCTGACATCACTCAATGCCACGTTAACCTGAATCAGCTCCGTGCATCATGTAGCCACCATGTAGCTTATCTCTGCTGGCTCTCCTCATTTCACAGTTAAATATCCATGTATTGTGCCCTTCACTTACTGTTATCCATTGCCACGAATGTGTTTGCAGCTGTTGTAATAAGAAGTTTAATATTTAATTTTAAAGCAGTGTTTATAAGCAAAATAAATAAATAGTGACTTTGATTACATCTTTTTCTTGGCTGCTAGTTAGCCATGTTGTTTTTGTCTTTCCGTTTCAATTGGGAAGGTAAAGTTATAGAAGAAAATCTGTGCTCATTGAAGAGAAATGTTGTTTACTGCTCAGTATTAGAATAGGACAGTTGAGAGCCAGGTTTAAATCCCTACTCAGCCATGAAGCATATGTGGGGCCTGGAAATAGCCAATCTCTCTAAGCTAATGGACTTCACAGAATAGAATTGTGAGAATGAAATAAATGAACAAAAAGACACATTCTGCCCTGCAGCTCATGCAAAAATATAATTAATGAATAAATGCTACATTGTTGGTGAGTGTGTAGTCTGTGGCACTAAGAAGATCAATGTTGCCTAGAGTGTCTTTGGACAAAGATCTTCCTCTTGTGCAGTTCCTACTTGTCTACTGATAAATCTGTTTATACCATCTACATTATACAAAAGGTCACTGAAGCCAAATAGAGAAGCAACTGTATTGGGGGGGGGGGGGAGAGAGTTTGAATGGCCTATTTCCTTATTATAGAAAGCAGTAAGAAAGAATCCGATTCATTTTTTACTTTTTGTTTTCTAAGAGCAGAAATTGTCCATCTTCCAACAGCTCATAGACAACAGAACCACAATTTGTTTATAGTCTGAAGATGCAGCTTGAGTGCCTCTACAGTTTATTAAAGAAGCATTGGCTATTAGAAAATTGTATTAAACAGACACAAGCTATATATTATGTGACCTCTAGGACTTAGATCCCAACCCCAGCCTTCACATACACACAAATACAAAAAAAATGAGTCGGATTCCAAAATTATGTTTTTCAAGGAAAGTAGAAACTCAAGGAGTAGTCCCCTGCCCCTTCGGCACATTGGTTATCCCCTACTACTCAAAGGTGACCCAATGCAACCACAGGGGGCAATGCAAGCTCATTGGGGGAGCTCCAGGCTGTATGTATAGTGCATGTGTCTACAGCTTATCGCTCTTGGTTTACGTAAAGTAAGTTATGAGGAATTGCAAAACCACAATGTATTTTTGCCTCTGAAAGTTTAGTTTTTTCACTCATCTTTAGTCTTCTTGAGTTGATTTGAAAAAGCCAGCAATTTATTTTGCTCTGATCATTTGCGGTGCTGCACACAAAGAAAGCGAACATGTAATTTTGATGGCATCAAAGTTGAAGCAGGATGATGTTAGTATGAGACTTTCTTGTGTGCTCCAACTACAATCTGTCAGTATTTCTGACATAATTTAATTTCTGCAAGTGCATTCCTTCCTGACATAATTTATACACCCTGAAATAAATCCCAAGTCTTAAAATCGAACCTGTGCCTAAATTGTATTGGAATTTTTCATTGTATCTATTTATTACCAAAAAAAGCAACAACACTGAATAAAAGGTAATTGTCATAACAATAAAACAGTATTTATGTATTACATTATTCAGTTGCATTTGTGCTCACTGATTGGAAAGCTCTTTACAGGAAGAGAATGGAGAATGAAAATAATGATAATTTCCATCTCCTCCAGTGTAATGCAGAGCTATGAGCGTAGGCTTCCCTGCCCCCTCTTCTGTAATACAAGATTATGTAGAAGAAACATAACTGAACGACTATTAGCATGATTAGAGGAGCTGCTCTTACTGCCTATTTTCTCTTATTTTCATTTTGTTTCATTGTAAAACATGTTTTAGACAATTACTATTTCCCAGAAATTTCTTGCAAGCAGTGGAGGGAACTAACGTTCAACCTGAATGTTAAAATGCTCTCTCTGTTTCTGAAACTGATAGAAATATCATTTAAATTGTACTCTTCATGTTAAAGTATAGCAGGTAAGTCACTTAAGAATAAACACTCCATCAGTTGCAGATTTGAAGTATCCCTCACTTTCATGGAAATATATGCACCAAATAAAGCTTTGCTCTAAAGTATTTGTTGATATGATTGTGACTTACGAGCACAACCCATGACTCTGAAATATAAATATGTATCTAGCATTAACGTCTCTTCTCTCTGTTCCTCCCCTCTCTCTCCAGGCACACACACAAGTGAACTCCCAAGATATGACAAGATCCCAATTCAATGACAAACCATTAAGAAAGGAAATGAAAGTTCAGAAGATTTGGAGGAATTCTATGATTCTGTTGTGAAAAAGAAAAAGCCAAGGAAAGAAAATATAATATATTTTCATTGGGCAATTAAGAATTAATGTGGTACATTAGCCACAGACAAAAAGGGAGATTTGTGGAAACAAGGCCGAAAAACGGGGTGAGAGGAATAGAATGGGGTATCCTGAAAGAAGAACATGGAACAGGTGAAGACTATGCTGCACCATTTTGTTGTAGCGCTCCTTGTACCATTAAAACACTGATGCAGAAGATGAATATGGTAGCAAAAATAGCATAAACTCATAACTTTATTGACGATGCTGGTCATCCTGTATACACCCCTGAAACTGTTGTTCCATTTGTAATTATGTCAGTTTTGGGGATGATAAAGGTTTTCAAAATACTGGCACCATTGTGCATTCTTGCATGGTTCCCAACATTTTCCTGGCTTATATAAAATAATGTTTTTATCCCAGTTCCTGTTCTCAAAAGCCCTCCTGATGGTATATTTATTATCTGACTCAAAAAAGAGGCTTTTTGAGAATTCCACGTGGTCTTCACTAACTTTCATCCTACCATCAGCTTTATTCTAGACCACAGCATGACCTCTTTCTAGACACTACTGCATAGTTAATAATGGAGATATGACCACAACCTTAGTGCAGATAGTTCGGACGCTAAAATTAGTTCAGAGGACGGCAGATAGGTCGTTAACTGGGGTGCTGTATTGTGAGAGGACAACTCCCATGTTGTGACAACTTCACTGGCTGCTGGTCTGCTTCTGAGCTAAATACATACAAAGTGCTGGTCATTACCTATAAAGCCCTAAATGGTTCAGGTCCAGGCTATTTGTCTAATTGCATCTCTCTATTCAGACCATCCCAGGCACTGCGGTCTGCGGAGGAGGCCCTGCTCTCAATCCCACCCCCGTCACTAGCGCGGCTGGTGGGAATGAGAGAAGGGTCTTCTCCATGATCACTTCCCACCTCTCGAACTCGCTACTGAAATAAATAAAAACGGCTCCCACCTTCCTCTCTTTTAAAAAGCTACTAAAATCACACCTTTACACTTTGGCATACAGGGAGGAGGATGATTAGAGCATTTTAGTAATGCCATTGAAAAGCAGGTTGTCCTATCTGTACTTCATGGTCATTATGATACAGTTAAGAACAACTACCAGCCAAATGCTTACCCAATTTTAATTGTGCTATGTTAGATGTTTTATTGTTGACCATGCTTTTAAATGTACTTGTTTAGTGATTAGTTGTTCTATGTTTTTATTTTGATATTTAATTTCATTTGATTAGTACAATGCTGTTATTACTCCATATTGTGTTTATTGCTGTAATGTTTTGGTATATGCCAGGCATTGAATATATTATTATTATTATTATTATTATTATTGTTATTATTATTAATGAAATGCTTTCACTGAATAATAAATTAATAAGAAAATGCAAAGATTTACATCAGTATTTTTTATACTATAATATCTACCCAACGAAATGAAAAACTGTTTCAGGAAGCTCAAAATATTACCCAGAATGATACCCAGTAGAAATAATCTTCTATAGGGTTGTTCTACAGGAGAAATGTGCTTTAAGACCATTTCCCACCGATAGCACTTGACTGAAAGATAACCATGATTGAAACATTATCAAGTATCTGCAGTGTGTACTATGAAGTAAGACTTCTCTTTCCAAAGGTTTGAGAATAAACCTGAACTCTGAGCATAGAGTTAATCTCAAGCAGCTATTCATCAGTTTCTTGTTTTTTGTTGTTGTTTTTTTGTCGTGTCAGGAGAGACTTGAGAAACTGCAAGTCACTTCTGGTGTGAGAGAATTGGCCCTCTGCAAGGATGTTGCCCAGGGGACGCCCGGATGATTTGATGTTTTATCATCTTTGTGGGAGGCTTCTCTCATGTCCCTGCATGAGGAGCTGGAGCTGGTAGAGGGAGCTCATCCGCCTCTCCCTGGATTTGAACCTGCGACCTGTCGGTCTTCAGTCCTGCTGGCACAGGGGTTTAATCCACTGCACCACCGGGGGCTCCTATTCATCAGTAATAGTAGACAACAAAGGAGAGACAGAAACATAGGGTGGATCTAGACAGCCCCTTTATTGCGGAAGTGACCACAATAAAAAGGGGGCTGTCCGGATAATGTCCTTGAGAAGCCCGCATTAATCCACAACGAAGCAGGAAAACCTTGAAAGTCACGGGATAAATCCACTACATCTGGTGTCTGGATTGCAGAATACTGCAGTCCAGACAGCATTCTCATGGTTTTCCAGGATTAATTAGTCCAGAAAACTGTGGGGATACCAACCTCCTCCCCAAAAACCCTTTAAAAAGAAAAATACTTACCTAGCCTCCTTTGGAAAGTTGCCGCAGCTCTCCTGTTGCGTAAAAATGGCACACAATTTTTACGCACCAGAAGAGCTGGGGGGGGGGGGTAGGAGAAAAGTTGCTCCTGCCCCCCCCTTTCTCCTGGCGCATCATTTCTACATGCCAGGAAAGATGTGGCAGCTCTCCAATGGAGGCCAGGAGGCCAGGTAAGTACTTTTCTTTTTTAAAAGGTTTTTTAAGGGCTTTTTGGGAGGGGGGTAGAGTGTCCTGGTGTTCTCCCGGGCCAGTCCTAGAAGGACATCTGGATGCCCACCCCAAAAAGTACACGCTTTCTGGGGTATATGGACAGGGCCCCAGGAACGCGTTTTTTTAAACACGAATGCTCCTGGGATAAATCCCTGTTTGGAAAGGCCCATAGAGGTCAGATTCTGCAACAAACCCAAATGACAACTCTATATCTGCTTAGGTATTACTATTATTGAACCTATTATTTTCATAATCCGCATAGGCTTCTCTGGATATTCTGCAGCTGACTTTTACATGGTATTTCTAAAGCTGATTTCAAGGGTAAACTGCAATGGGAAACCACTGTATTATTATGAAGAAGTTCAATTTTTGTGATATATGGCTTGGATCAGGCTAATGGAATGTGAAGAAATCTTCATAAATAAATTAGCTTGCCAATATCATAAATATTGTTTTTGAATATTTATGGTCAAGTAGTTATTATCCACTCATACTTGCTATCATTTATTTCAACTTTGGCTTTAAATGCTCACACCTCCCCCCCCCCCCCCCCCCCCCCCCAGTCTGCAAATTGTGTATGGTCATCCTTGATAATACTTGGTGCGTGTGATGGAGTGGACTAGTCCAGAAAAGCTTATATGATATGAAATATAGCCTTCATTAATCCTTTCCTCCTTCCCCAAAAAATCACTCCATGTTTTTTCCCTTCTATCTGCTTGTTGACATTCAAATAGTATTAATTCAAAACTAAGGTTGTAATGTCGAAATAATCAGAACAAATTGATAGTGTTCCATGCAAACCTAAATCTCTATATTTCTTAGGATCAATCTATAGCCCATAGCAAAAGTTGATTAGAAATGATTGATTGCAAGGGCATGCATGCTAGAAAAATTTGTTTTTGTTCTAAAAGCATGTGTAATAACAGATTTCTTTTTTCTATAAAACTACAGCCCTTTCTCACTTTTATGATCACAATTTTTGCTTCCATTCTAATGCCATTTGGCAATGTTAGCCAAAAAGATAGCACCCAGAAGTGAAATTAAAATGCTCATACAATGCAGCTATATTACCCAATTCAACCTCACAAAGTTTCCCCCCCCCCCATCTCTCTGTGCTTAAAATTGCCAGCTCTTATGCTCTATCTTAATTTTGTCTTCACAACAACCATAAAAACTGACTTGTGCAACCCCCTGAATTCAATTATTGTTTTTTTTTCTAAAAGTCTACTATAATCCAACGGCAAGACTATTACATGATGATTTTTATTTTTAATTTGTTTTGTGTTCAACTGCATGTTTTTGCAAAAGAAGAAGGCACTATCACCTTTCAAGCTAGTCAGATGCAGCCAAAGAAGTGGTTGTCTGCCTTTCCCACTATTGTGTTTCTGCCTACTTACCTTCTTCCCAGTACAAACTTATTGTGAGGCAAATGAGAATAAGTGGGCATGAAAATCTAAAAATCCAGAAGCACCCCTGCAGTTATCATTTCTGAGCTCCTGGTCTTGTTGGCAGGCTGGTAGTCAGAAAAATAATTACAGGGCAGGGAGGGGTAGTTGGGTTGAAACAATTCTTATTTTTTTTAGCGAATCATGAAGAGTAGGTCCATAACACAAAATAATTTCAATTCTATTACTTAATTAAATCAAATTTATATTTTAGCTACAAAGTTTCAAGTCTAAAAAAACCTAAAAATGACAATTGGTAATTTAGTGGTTACAAAAGAATACCACAGTGCCTTTTGGAAACACTTGAAAACTGTGTCAGTACACCAACAACCTCATCAAATGGCTCAAATAAGTGTCCTAGGATGCTTAGAGCCCCACGGCAGCCATCAGATGACGCCACCTGTGACTCCGCACCCCAACCAGGGTTAAAGTGTTGTCAGACACTTTCCTGACAACACAGGGCCTCCCCCTCCTTGAAGAAAAAGTGTGTGGGGGGTGTTGAACCCTGGAACTCCCCCCCCCCCCAGCTATAGACTTGGTTGTTGAGTGAAGCCTGGAGTTCTCAGAGCTGGCCCATGGAGCTGATAGCTTAGATCTGGAGGGCAAAGGAGCAAAGCTCAGAAGCAACAAGTTACAAATAAATAGGTTTAGCTCATAAGAATGACTTTTTAAAAACTATTGTATAACTAAGTTTCCTTCTGATCGTAACCCCTATCTTTTTTCAATGTTGGAGTAATCCATTATTATAAAGTCACTGTGATGTAATGGTTTGGGTTATGACTCTTGAGATCAGTTTTGAATCCCACTCAGCCATGAAAATCCACTTGTTTACCTTAGGCAAGTCACATTATTCTCTCAGCCTCAGAGGAATACAAACACAAATACTCCCTGAACAAATATAGCCAAGAAGCCCTCTGATAGGTTTGCCTTAAGGTCACCATAGGTTGAAAATTACTTTAAGGTGCAAAACAAAAAATGGAAGCTTGTTCTTGAGTTTGCAAGAACAAGGCAGAGTTGTTGATGACTACAACTCATGGAGGTCACTCATTCATAGGATTGTCATTAAATTGGAACCATGATGAAAAACAACAATAACAACAAGAAGAACAACAAACAGAACAGTTAAAACAGTTTTTAATACTTGTGGGTTTGTGGAGGAGAAATATCACATGGGTGCCTCATATTGTGTTTGATCTGCTGAATGGGAAAATCCAACCATCCATCCCCCCCCCCCCAAAAAAATTAAAAACTTGCCCCACTTTCTCTCCTCATCTTCCCGAGTCTTGCTTACACTAACAAGGGCACTGAAAATGGCTATAAGTTCTCTAGAGCTCCAAGGCCATTGGGATGGTGACAAACTGCAAAATGGGTAAGGGTTACTGTTCTGAAAGCCAAACCAGGTTCAGCTCAACTGGACAGTGAGGACTTTGTTCCTTCAAATAACACAGTTCAGGAGTAGAGTGGTGAGAACACCAAGGCAGGATCTGGGGCTTTTCGTTGTCTGAGCAGATGTGTCCTGAGGCTTACACTAATTACAAGTAATTTTCCCCATAGCTGTACCACCTAAGTTCCACCTTAAGATCTGTCCAGAATATAGTCAAGACTATATCCAATCTGCTATGTTTTATAAAATAAAGAAAAAAAAAACAGACAAAAATCTGATTTTGACCAAAAATGAACATATTCACATCACTGTATATCCCTGTACTCAAGGAAAACAAATGACTTTTTTGCTATACACTGGTGTGGACTACTCCAGCGCATGTGCACATTTTAAAATCCCCCCCAAAAAAACCTGTTGAAGACTGTAAACAAATGGAGCCATGGACACACAGGTGGCTAAATGGAAGCAGAAATGGAAAGCAATTTCCATGAGAACTCTCTGCAAGCATTTCTTTGTTCTCTATTAAACTAAACAGAACTTGAATTTACACAGTGGGCAAGTGACCCCAAAGGGATATAGTAAATACAATAGGAGGATGAGGAGAGATAATAACAATCTGGTGTGCACATACTTATATCTGCATCAGTGCCTATGAGGTCTAGTGCATCTCGGAGTGTCAATAAAAAAATAGAAATAAACTTCTGGTGAATATTTCACATGTCCATCTTGCAGATTTCTAAAATCCACTACAATCGAATCGTTCAGGATGCTGGGGGAGCATTTTGCCGGGACTGACAGGTCTGTATCTGGACTCTCCTTAAGGTCCTACTATTTTTAAACCATGTCTGGTAGGGCCCAAAGTTTTTCACACATCACAGAAATTGATCACCATTAAATGTAAGAGCTGTGGTTGAGTATGAGGTATTTATTGCATATTTGTAACTAACAATGTCTCTCCAGCTATTTTTGCAAACC